ACACCAGTGAAGCCCCTCAACGACCAGCAGGGGGCCGGCCCAGGGTGAGAGCCCAGCACCAGCTGCATGGGGGGCTCCTCCCACCACCTTTCCTCCTGTAAGATTCCAGCCAGACCCTGGAAAAGCTGTCCTCAGGGGTAAACTTATGACAAGGAGCAAGTGGTCCCAGCAGCACTAGGGGGCTGCAGTGGATAAGGGGTTTGCGACGGGGTACTCCGTCACCACTGTGCTGAGGGCTCGTAGCTACATACCCTCCTGGCACTGGTGCCCACAGGTACACCCATGTCCAATGACCGGTCAGTGTGGGAACAGGGCCTGGCCCCCTTGCCTCAACGTGGGACAGCTCCCTCGAACCTCCCCAGTAAACCCCCTGCACACAATCCCCGGACCTGACACCCTCCTCCCCGGGGTTCCACGTCCTCAGATGCTCCACCACCACCCAGGAAGTCACTCTCGCCTCCTTCTCCCTGCCCATGTCCAGTCACCGAAGCCCGGCGCCTGCGCTGCCCCCTCTCCTAGGGGGCTGAACTGCTCCTCACCGTGTCCCCACGTCCCCTCTTGCCCTGCCGCTACTATGCCATCCGATCACACATCCCCCCACAACACCCCCCACACACGGTGCCCAAAGCTCTCAGAACACCAGGGTGCCTCACGCGCCCATACCTGGCCTCAGCCCACCCTGCCCACCCCCTTGCCTGTAGCTCCCCCTGCCGGCACTCCTCAGCTGGCTCCTCCCAAAATGGCAGGAACCCCTGGGAGATGTCCCTGCCTCCTAATCGATCCCTTTGAAGCCTTGTCAAAACCAGACTTAACCATGCTGGGGGGCTCTGGGGTTCACACCAGTCCCCAGCTCTGGGGAAGGGAGGCACCTCTGGCTGCACCACAGGAGGTGACCCATGTCAAGCACCCAGATACCCACTCCTCAGAAATCCGGGCTGGGGTGGGGGACTGGAGGCGGGAAACAGGGGGCAGAGGACACAAGGCTCAGAGAAGTCACCTCCCTCCAGGCCGCGGCCTAAGGATGGGGTGGTCAGCAGGGTGCTCTCACCGGGAGGCAGTCCAGCCACGCGGCCTGAGTCAGCTCTAACAGAGGTGGCCCCCAGGCTTCCTTCCTCCCTCTCATGCAGGCTGATCTGTGTGAGGGCCACTGACAACAGTCTCTGCTCACAACAGTCAGAGAGTGTGGAGAGCACACCTGCCCCTCCAGTGAGGACGCTGCCCCCATCTGCCCACGGCTGCTCCATTACTGGTGAAACCACGGCACCTTCCTGCCACCCTCCTGCCACAGCCCCGGCTGTCACATGGCTGTGATCCCTGCAGGCACCCACTGGAGCTGTGAGGCCAAGCAGCAGCAGGCAGCCCAGAGCCAGGGCCCTGCCTCGGGGGCCAGGGCTTTCCCTGCACTTCTGAGCGGACTCAGCCCTGTGGGACCAGCACCCCTAAGGGGTCCATTTCCAGGTGAGGAGCGCAGGCCCAGAGGGTGGGACTGCTTGCCCAGGGGCACACATGGGACACATGAGTCTCCTCCCAAAGCCCAAGCTGGAGCTCACAACCTCCACAGAACAGCCCCAGGGGAGCTGGCATTTCTCCCCTGGAAAGCAGCTGGCCAATATGCACCAACCACCCTAAAAATCTTTGTAGCCTACATGCCTGCAATGTCCCTGATAGGCATCTAGGCCCCAGGCCTAGTTCTACAAATGGTTTTACTGAACATGGCCTCTCCCATCATTTACATGTCTGTGGCTGCTGCGCTGTTACAAGGCGGCGCTGACAGAGACAGCGTGGCCTGCAAAACCCAAAGTATTTACCCCTTGGCCCTTTACAGAAGAAGTATGCCAGCCCCTGCTCTAGGTTAAGAAAGTCACGTAAAAGACAAGAAAAAAAATCTATATACAAATACATTCAAACATTACAACTTATAACACAGTGACAAAAAAGTGGAAGTAACCCACATGTCTGACAATAGGGGCTTGACTGAGTAAACTGATAAGTCTATACAATAAAGTATTTCCTGTGACACGTTAAATTTTTGATGAACTGGGGAAAACGTTTATTATGCTGAACAAAAAAATGCAGGATAGAGTAACATAGTGAGTATGATTTCAACATATAAGGATGCTGGGCCAGCCCTGTGGCCTAGTGCTTAAGTTTGGCGCACTCAGCTTTGGTGGCCAGGGTTCAGTTCCCAGGCGCAGATCTATACCACTTGTTGGCAGCCATGCTGTGGCAGCAACCCACATACAAAAGAGAGGAAGACTGGCACAGATATTAGCTCAGGGAGAATCTTCCTCAAGCAAAAAGAGGAAGACTGGCAACAGATGTTAGTTCAGGGTGAATCTTCCTC